AAATATTATTTTACTATAAATTATTTTATTTAAATATACAGTATAATAAATATAAATTCTATTGTTAAGAAAAAAAATATAATTTTTTAAGTTTTTATTAAATTTTTTTCTATCTAAAATATAAATTATAAATATTTTAAAAAAATTTAAATATTTAAAATATTTAAATTTTAATTATAATAAAATATATTTATTTATTAACATAAGTAAATAATTTATAAATTTACATACATGTATTATTGTTATATTAATAATTAAATAAAATATCAGTATATCAAAAAATGAAGTTACATAGATCATATAGTATAATGATTAATTTTGAAAATATTACAAATTCTGTAAATATTAAAAATATAAAGGATTTATAAAATTTTTCTAATAAGAATTTTGAATTTGATTTGACAGGTTAGGTAATCTAACAAATTAATTCAAAAGTTCAGATCAGATCAAATCAGATAAGATATCTAACCTGATCTGATCTAAATTTTTTAATTAAAAAATTCAAAATTTAATAACTCTATTAATATTGATTTATTTAAGATAAAATAATTACAGTCAACTCTTGTTATAGCGAACTCTTGATATAACGAATTTTTTGAACAAATATAATAAAAATACTCTTGTTATAGCGAATTGGCCAATCAAATCTCTTAAAATCTTCACTATAGCCTTATAGCGAAGTTGAGGTCTAGGACATAGAGTTTGTTATAACAAGAGTTAACTGTACCATTTAAATTCTTTCTGATAGATCCTAATCATAGTATTAATTTATTACATGCAAACTATATATGTAAATAGATTATAAATTTATAAAATATAAATGACTCTTAAAGCTATCTATGTGGTGATGATAACTTTCAAAGTATAAATCTTATAAAGTTATTTTATCTTAAGTATTTTTAATAATAGATAAAAGTTATAATTAGTGAATTTACTAAAATCATTATAAAAAATAGAACCTATAATACAATAGTATTAGCCTGTAATAGGCAAATGCTGTATTGTTCACTTGGATTTAGCTTTAAAGTAATATCTAATAGAAAATATATAGAACAATAATATATTTTAGTTGGTTGATATTACATTATCTTTAACTATTATATATTTAAGACTTATGTTAAAAGGAAATGTTAGATTCAATTTTCAAGTTGTTTAACATTATGATAAACTTGATCATTCTTTGAATCTGAAATAGAATATCTTGCTTGATTTCTTTATCTAGTAATATAATTGAATACTTAATAATATTTGAGTATTACTATTAGATTTATGAAGGTTAGTAGGTAAAAATTGATCTAAGTTATAATATATATTAAGCTGATTATTAATATACTGATAGGGAGTGATAAGCTGACAAAATACTATAAAATAAAATTCAATTTAAGATTTTTATAGTTAAATAGCTAAATCTATAATTAAATCACAATATTAAAAAAATCTATTTAAATCTTTTTTAAACTACCATTTAATTTTTTTAAAAAAAACTCTTTCCTAAAATTTCAAAAACATATAATTTTTCAAAAACAAAAATTTTTACTTTATTTTATTATACTTTTACAATATGATTTTTAATATTTTTAAAAATATTTTCACTTAAAATATTTAATCCTTTTAAAAATTAAAAGCATTTATCATCTTAAACTAGAAAAATGTGACTTTGTTATTGTAGAATTTCTCTTATACAAAACATCAGAAGTTTTTTAGTTTATTTAAAAACTTAATAAAGAATAAATTAAAATCTTTTCTTTAAAAAAAACTGTTTAAGAAAATTTTTAAATAAAAATTTTATTAAAAATCTTACACAAACTTATACTTATAATATATATAAAGTAAAAATTAGTGATTATGAATCAAATATCACACAAGAAATAATTTTTAATATTCTAAAAGCTACCTTTTCTATACATGAAAATGATAAATATTTTTTTGATAACAGATGATGAAAATTTATAGACATATTAGATGACAATGATGTGTTAATAGATAATGATAATATAAGACATAATACTCTTCTTTTCTTACTCTCTTTTTCTAAAAACTCACAGCTTTTATCATTCTAAAAAAATAAATAAAATGATGCATCTGAAAATAATAAATATATAAAATTTATAAAGAAAATAAATAATAAAGATAATGTATTAATCTTTTTTAAAAATATGTCAAAAAATACTACAAATATTAATAAAGCCTATAAATAAAATTTTTATATATCTATTATATAAATAAATAATAGTAATACAACTATATTAACAAAAATAATATTTAGTTTATTAAGTAAAAATTTTATTTGATAGTTTCTCTTTTTTATTATAAAATTTATATATTATTCTAATTATTAAACATATAAATAGATAATATAATCTAATTTATCTAAATTAAAAATATTAAATAATCTTTATTTGATTCTTATGATATAAGAAATTATTATTTTTAAAGAAATTTAACTTCATCAAAAAATGTTTTAAATATTTTAATTTGTAAAAAATAAAAATAAAATTTAGAATTAATAATTTTGATAAGATTGCTAAGTATACAACTAATCTTAGGAATCTGATTCTAAATTTTGAAATTTAAAATTTTAAGAAATTTTAAAATTCTAAGAGAATTTATATTTATTTATTTTATTAAGTAACTCATTAAATATTTAATAGATAAATTTAATAATAAATTTATAAAAATAATTTTTTATAACTTTCTTGAGACTTTTAAAGCTGATTAAATTTAGTATTACCATAGAATATAGAATATTGATAGAATATAGATCAGATAAATTAAACATTTGAAATATAAATATGAGAAAAATTAAGACATATAGCAATATCTAGAATAGCAAATCTTTATAATATCAATAATGTATATTACTACTTAATACTGCTTAATATTCCTATTTGAAATAAATTTATTAAAAAGAATAATATAATTTAATTTTTTTAATAATTAAAAAAAAAAATTTATAATATATATAGTATATTAGATTTTATATTTCTATAAAGTTCTTCAATAAAATAAAAATAATATTTTTGAAAAATTTTTTAAATAATATATAAATATTAAAATATAATTATTATATTTTTTTTTCAAAAAAAAAATGAATTTAACTTTAAAATTTTATTAGATTTTTTTTTATTTTAAAATAATATATCTTAAAAATAATTTTAGACTATTTATAATAATTTAATAATTTGATTTGAAATATAAATAGTTAGACTCCTGAAATAATATCTAATTAAAATAAGATTATTATTTAAAAATATCTAGTTTTTTTTCTCTTTAAATATAATAAAAATTATTTTTTAATAATAAGTTTAAAATTTTATTAAATATTATTAAATTAGTATGATTATTAATTAATAATGTAAAGAATTATTATGATATTAAATTTAAAATATTTATTGATTTTATTTACTAAATTGAATTTATTTTAATTTAAATAAATGTATTAATTAAAAATTTTTTATTTTTTAATTTAAAAAAAGATTAAATAGTATTTTTTTATTTAAAAAATTTTATTTATAAATTAATTTAAATTTTATACTTTTAAAAAATAAATTTTTATAATTAAGTTTATAATTTAATATTAGTTTTAGTTTTCTTTATTATATTGATAATTGATTTTGATTATATTTATTGATATTATTATTAATTATATAAGAAAGTTTGTTAAAAATTCTAAAATAATTAATAATTTTGATAAGATATTTTGATTTAGAGATTATATATTTAATATAAAAAATTACTTTTAATATTAAACATAAAATTATAATATAACAACTAAACTTACTGTATATTATAGTTTTAAAGTCATTTTGGTTACTTTATATTTTCATGATTTTTGACTTTTAAAAGCAAGTAATATAGTATAAAGATTTTGATATCTTAAAATATATTCTAAATAGGCTAGAAATACTATAAAATAAAGATATTGATTTGACAATTAAAATGTAAAAGAAACATAAAATATTGTATAGTAAAAATTTAACTAAAAACTTGAAATCTAGTAATAAGATTATATAATTTCTTTTATTTTATTTTTTTTATTTTTTCCAAATTTTTTCTTTTAAATTTCATTTTTTTAATAAAATCAAATAATGTTAAAATCTTTTATTTAAAAAAATTTTTTATTAAAAAAAATAAAGAATCTGAATGTATAAATTTTTACTTATAACATTTGTAATTCATTTTATTCATTTTTTACAAATCTAATGTTATTAAATTTTACGTTACTTTGCTTCTTTGTGTAACCAAATGTTCTAAAGTCACATGATATTCGAAAAAAAGATTTCGAGATTTTTGATTGCAGTTAGTGGCTTTGCGATTCGCTTACGTTATTTTAAAAAGGATTTCTTTAAGAATTAGCAAATGGCGTCTCTGTTCATGCTATCAAACGCATTAAGGCGTCAGGCTGGTCGTGGGCTGAAGAGAAAGGTATTAATACTTTAAGAACTTTTTAAAGGGTCTTGAGGAGTTCATTAATACCATTAACTAATACAACATTTATACATCGTACTGGATAAATTTGTAGTTTACCCGCTCTTTTGCCTCTGAAACATCTTTTCCTCAGCAAATAACACGTTCTACGGTACTTCCAAATGGCTTGACGGTTGCGACTGAAGCTAATGCGTTTGCACAGACAGCAACTGTGGGGGTATGGATTAGCGCCGGAAGTAGAGCTGAAAACGCAAATAATAACGGAGCTGCTCATTTTTTGGAGCATATGGCATTTAAGGTAGATTTATCAAATAAATTAATTCTTTATGATTCATTAATAATGTATTTTTATTTATTATATAAAAAAAAATTTTTTTTTTTTTCTAGGGAACGAAATCTCGTTCTCAGCATCAATTGGAACTTTTTATTGAAAATATTGGAGCACATTTGAATGCTTACACTTCTCGTGAGCAAACAGTATATTATGCTAAAACTTTTAAAAATGATGCTAAGGTAGCTGTTGAAATCTTATCTGATATCTTGCAAAATTCTACATTGGAAGACCATGCTATTGAACGTGAACGTGAAGTCATTTTAAGGGAACAGGAAGAAGTGAATAAATTACTCGATGAAGTTGTTTTTGACCATTTGCATGCCACCGCATTCCAAGGTTAAAATCAAGTTAGAAGTATATCTATTTAATTATAAATTCAACACCTTTATTTAACAAATATCATTATACGATTTTAGGTCATTCATTGGGTCGTACTATTCTTGGACCAAAGGAAAATATCCTTTCTCTTAGTCGTAAAGATCTTGCAGATTATATTAGTAAAAATTATACAGCAGATCGCATGGTATTGGTGGGAACCGGTGGTATTGATCATGAAGAACTTGTAAAGCTAGCCGAAAAACATTTTTCTTCTTTACCAGTTTCGTCAAATCCTTTGTCACTCGGTAGTACTCATGGTGTAAGACCTCCATTTACTGGATCAGAAGTTAGAGTAAGAAATGATGAATTACCTCAAGCTCATATAACTCTCGCAGTTGAAAGTGTTGGATGGACTTCACCGGATTATTATCCTATGTTAGTTGCACAAGCTGTAATTGGAACTTGGGATAGGTCTCTTGGTTCCGCTCGACATTCATCTTCTCGTCTTTCTCATATTATTCATCAAAATCAACTTGCAAATTCTTTCCAAGCTTTTAACACAAGTTATAGTGATACTGGATTATTTGGCATTTATCTTATAACAGAAAATAAAGATAATTTAGATGATTTGGTACATTTTACTTGCAAAGAACTTTGGAGGTAAACATCATGATATATATATATTTTTTTTTAAAAAAAAAAAATATTCTGATTTATTAAGTTGTAAAATTTTTATTTTTTATTGTTATTTTTTTAAGATTGCACACATCGGTCACGGAATCTGAAGTTGAGCGAGCAAAACAACAGCTCAAAGCTTCGCTTTTATTGAATCTTGATGGCACAACAGCAATTGCTGAAGATGTTGGACGTCAATTAATAACAACAGGCAAAAGACGTAGTCCTCAAGAGGTTGAAGCTATCGTATCTAAGGTTACTGTTGATGATGTACGTAGAGTAGCCGGAGAATATTTATGGGATCAAGATGTTGCTGTTGTTGGAATCGGTCCAGGTATGTTTAATATTAATTTTTTTTAAAACCTTATTTATTTATTTTTAATATAATAATTCTTGATTATTATTATAGTTGAAGGACTTCCAGATTATAATAGAGTTCGTGGTGATATGGCTACCAACAGATTTTAAAGATTTAAATTTGTCCGTAAAATAAGCATTTAGGCATTATTATTATTTATTATTTAAAATACAATCCAAAGACAATCGATCAAAAAAAAAAAATTTAACTTTTTATACATTAATATTAGATTACGACAAACAATGAAAAAAAAAAAATTTTTTTTTTTGTTTTTTCATGTTAAAATAAAGTTAACAGAACTGTAATATAAAATTAATGAGTCAAAATGATGCCTATTATTTTAATGCTGTAATAAGTTACATTGTTCCATATCGTAATATAAAACTTGTTCAATTTAGAAATTGCGTGTGCATACTTAAAAGCGGGATTTTAGCCTATATATTGTTAAATCAAAAATCAAGACTTTTCACGTATTGATCAAAATAAATAAAATGAAATTCATTTTTTGGTTTTTTTTTAAAAAAATAGGATTTCAAATTTGAAGAATATATACCATATTAAATAATTTTATTTGAAATAATTTAATAGTAATAATTATTTAATTTACGGGAAATTCATTGTTAACAGAGCTTCTGATTTTCAGCTTAGAAACAGACATAAATATATGGCAAATCAATTGACTTTCCTTGTTAAAGAGATAACCCCCACCATTAATGATGATAATACATAAACATTAACACATCGACTCAGATTAAGAGATGTTTTCGATTACATTCAACCAATCCTACAACGAAATTGTTTTCAACAAAAATTACCAACCCTTTCCTGCCCGTCCAACACTTTCAACTTTCATGTTTGTAATTTTATGACAAAACGAATAAAATCACTCCCCCGAGACAATGCATTTAAGGAGAAAATTTCTATAATTTCTGTTTATATGCTTGGGACAGAATGAGCTCGTACATTTATATAGTGTGTGCATTTTGAAAAGAGAGCCTCTTTGAAGATAACATTTCGCCTTAAATGACTTTGGACGCGTCCCTAATTTGGAAAAGCTTCCATAAAAGTAAACGTCACGTGATTAGTGCTTTTCACATGACTTTAAGGATCAGCAAAAAACTTTTAGATTATCGTAAAATTTACAAACTTACAAAAATAAAACATTTTTTGGATATATTTTAACAATGTTTAAGAAATTCAAATTAGAAAAAAATGAAGTAACCGAAGGATTTCAATCATCGAAGAATAAGACTCATATTTTTCAACCTTTTCGTGCAATTGGATATGTTACAAATTATATACCTTTTGACATTCAGAAAAAAGGAGAAGTATACTATCTTACAACTTGCGTCGGTAACAGCTTTCATGTATATGATGTACGTAAACTAATGCGATATTTTGACATTTATGTTTATTTTAAAATAAAAAAAAAGAATTTATTAAATTTATTATTATTATTATTATCTTCTTATGTTTAAAGTGTGAAAAGCTAAATTTGATAACTGTAGGTATGATACAAAGATATTTCAGCAAATTTAAGTTATTATTTGTTATAGGTCCTCTAATTTTCATTTATTAATAACCAAAAGGTTCTCAAACAAGCAAACCTATTACAGCTATAGCTTCATTAAATGAAAATACTTTTGTTGCATGCGGAAAAGAGCTAATTGTTTACCATCGTGGTAAAGAGGTGAATTTTAAAACTTTTAATATAAATTTTAAAGATTCAATGTTTTTTTATGAAAAATTTGATTTTTTTTTTCTAGGTTAATAGATATATTGGAAACATAAATGGACATATTTTTATACTCGCAATTTTTAGTAATTATGTTATTGCTTTAAGCGATGATAACTTACTTACTTTTTGGGATCATGTTTCTGGAGGTATATATTTTTTTAAATTTTCTTTGAGAAAAAAAAAAATAAAAGAATTTCTTTTTAATGGATTCTTAATTATTCAGAGCTTTGTGGTGAAATCCAATTTGATGAGAATTTCACTTTATCAACGATCGTTCATCCGAGCACTTATTTAAATAAAATATTACTTGGCAGTAAACAGGGAATAATGCAGATTTGGAATATTCGTACAAAGTAATTATATTGTAATATTTAATTAAATTAGATTTTCATTATTTATGTTTATATATTTCTTCCATGATAGGAAAGTGAAATATTCATTTCCTTCATTTGGATCCGCAATTACTTTCCTTACACAATCTCCTGTTGTGGATGTTATTGCTATTGGTTTACTTAATGGAACAATAATTTTGTACAATATTAAATTAGATGAACGTATAATATCTTTGAAGCAAGAAGGAAGTGTAACTTCAATTTCGTTCAGAACAGGTTTTTATTAAGAAAATATTTTTCATATGTTAGCACTAAAATCTTTTAACTAAACCATATGTTGTTTTGTTTCTTCAGATGATAAGCACGTTATGGTTTCTGCTAATATGCATGGTGACATAACTCTATGGGATCTTGATAATCAGAAATTATATGATGTTATAAAAGGTGCTCACGATGGATTAATTCCTTCAATACAATTTCTTAATGGGCAACCTATATTAATAACGTCCGGCGCTGATAATTCAATAAAAGTATATAAATAAATATATATTTTTTTTATTATTACATATTATCATAAATTTAAATTTTATCAATTCCCTACATATATTCTTAGGAATGGATTTTTGAGGGTCAAAATGGGTTTGAACATCGTATTCTAAAATCAAGAAGTGGGCATCATTCACCGCCAACAAAGATTGAATATTATGGATCTTCCGGACATTTCATTCTTAGTGCAGCAGGAGATAGATCACTTAGAATATTTTCAATAATTCGCGATTCCCAGAGTGTAGAATTATCACAAGGTTTGGCTAAATTATCTTTATTAATATTTCTAGTACCGTGCAGTACATCATTCATTTAATGATATTTTACTTTTAGGATCCATTATAAAACAATCCAAACGTTCTAGAAAACACGTTGATGAACTCAAATTTCCGCAGATTATAAACTTCTCATCATGTGAGTTTATTTATGCGGTAGAGAGATATTGTAAATTAATGATTGAATTTATTATTTAATATTAATACTTTTTAATTAAAATTATATTTGTAGCTGAATCTAAACAAAAAGAATGGGATAATATCCTTACATGTCATATTAATGATTCGAGAGCTCGAACTTGGTCATTTCAGAGAAGAGCACTAGGGCAACATGTTTTTAAAACTCTTGATGGGTCATCGATTAAGGTTTGTACTAGTTGAAAATAATTTTTTGATTTTTAACAAAAATTCTGTATCGTAAAAATCATTCGTTATCAATATAGGCAACAAATATAAGTGCATGCGGAAATTTTGGATTCATTGGAACATCATCTGGTGTAATTGAAATGTTTAATATGCAATCTGGGTTACATAGAAAAACTTTTGCTGGGAATGATGGTATCAAAATAAAATTTTGTTTGTTACATTCATTCGTAAATTATTGATTTCCATATTTACTAATAGCCTTTCATAATAATAAAGGACATAAAAAGTTGATATCTGGATTAGCAAGTGATTCACTTAATCGTAAATTAATTAGCAGTTCTCTTGATGGCACTGTTAAGGTATTTACTTTTTTATTTTTTTTTTAAAAAACTTTTAAATTTAATTTATTAAGAGATATGTATTTTTTTTAGATATGGGATTTCAATAAAGCGAAAGTTTTGCATACTATTGATATCATGTCACCTATAACCACCATGCTATTTCATTGTAATAATGATTTATTAGCGATAATTAATGATGATTTATGTGTACGCGTTATTGACGTGGAAACTTGTAAAATTGTAAGAGAATTTTGGGGACATCGGAATAGGATTACTGATTTGGTAGGTTTTTACACGATTGATATTAATAATAATCATGGATTATAAGATTAAATGCTTTATATAATAGACATTTAGTCCTGATGGAAGATGGATTGTATCTACATCTCTTGATGCTACGATTCGTACTTGGGATCTTCCAACAGGTCATTTAATTGATATTTTTCGAGTTGATGATATCGCCACAAGTGTTACATTTTCCCCAACTGGTGATTTTTTGGCCACTTCACATGTTGATAATGTTGGAATGTTCTTATGGTAAGAAATTAAATCAACTAATAAATGACATGACACATAATACCAAATCAAAAAAAAAATTTCTTTTGAATGATCGTAGGGCAAATCGTACCCAATTCTCTAACATTTCTTTACGAAATATTTCCGAAGATGATGAAATATCTACAATAACACTTCCAACCACTACCGGTTTGGAAAGTGATAACGAAGGTATAATTTTTATACAATACGCTGAAATTAAAGTTGCTTAATAGACAATTAATGCGAATTAATTTTATTTTAGATTATTTGAATGAAGTAGATGGTGATAAGAAAGATGACAAGTCGTTTGAAACCGTGGAACAACTCACTGAACAAATGATAACATTATCATTACTACCAAAGTCCAAGTGGCAGAACTTGCTAAACTTGGAGACTATTAAGGTATTCGTAATTGTAATTTTTAATTATATTATTATTTAAATAATTCTAATTTATACTTTGTGATAATAGAAAAGAAATAAACCTAAGGAACCTCCTAAATCAGATAAGAAAGCGCCCTTTTTCTTACCCACTTTACCTGGTGTTAAACCTAAATTTGTACCATTAAATGATTTAAATGAGTCTAAAGACAAGAAAAAATCTGGAAACGTTATACAAATGTCTGATATTAAAATGGAAACCGAATTTTTGAAAATGTTAAAAAAGAATCATGAAGAAGAAAATTGTGAGTTATAATTTAATTTGCGTTCTTTTTAAAAATACTATATATCGATATACATATTTATTTTTTTCCTTTTATAGATACAGAATTTTTTAATTTTGTAAAAACCTTAAATCCTTCAGCAATTGATTTTGAATTAAGATCATTAAGTCTCGAAAATAATTTAATAGAATTAAATTATTTTTTAGAAGCAATAGAATTTAAACTCAAAACGAAAAAAGATTTTGAATTAGCACAAGCTTATTTAAACCATTTTCTAAAAATTTATGGTGATATTATTTTATCAAATAATCATAATGAACAACTTTCGAATCATTTAATTACTATATTAAATGAACATAAAAAAGAATGGAACAGGATAGAAGAATTATTACATTATAATCTCTGTGTTTTAGGATTTTTTAGAAAGTAATTAAAGAAATTATTTGTTATTATTCAAGAAATTTATGCAGTTAAATAATTATAATATTTTTTTTTTATTTTAAACTTTTAATTTATATGAATTTTGATATTGGTTGTTCTTAATTCTAGCTTGTATCCGCATTGCAATTGTTTTACTTCTGCAATCTTTTTTGATCCACTCTAAATACTCTAAATATAGAACAAGCGAAAATAAAATAAAAATTGCAATGTAAAATAAATCATACAAAGAAGAAACAAAAAGGGGTAATTAAAAAATAATAATAATAACAAATTATTCCTAAAGTTTGCTCTTTAAAAACCTAATAATAATAATATTATTAAATCATCGATTATTAAGTTACAAAGCCATGGTTGCACGTAATTCTGCCAGTTCTTCGTCTTCATCTTGTTCTTCAACTCTCCTTTTGATTGCTATTGAAAAATTAAATAAATCAATGTTAATTGTTATATTATAAAACAAGATATTTGTTAAAACGAAGACGAATTTCATACCAGGTTCGGTTGTTGGCACGTTGGGAACAGTAACAGGTGGGGCGTCTGCTCCAAGCAACTGACTATCAAGAACTTCTTGTTCTAATTCTTCTAACTCTGCCGTCAGTTCGTCCTAAACAACAACAACAACAGAAATAATAATAAATAAATAAATGAATAACACCTTTCGATCTGATAATAATTTACTCAAATAAGATAAATTCATACATCGTCCAGATCGATTCCAATCATTGGTGCAGAAATAGCATTTGAAATTTCATCCGCCAAATCGATTTGTTCGCGTATAGAGTCCATTGTATCATCCACTTTATTCATATCCCTTAAAGAAAATAAGAAAATAAAAAAAAATAAAAATAGTTTAATTTCGATGATTTTATTTATAAAATAATTTTTTTATTTTTTAGAGAAATACAATCGAATAATAATATACATGTTATTGTGTATCGCTTTCATTGCTTCGGCACCTTTTTCCATAGCTTTAATGGTTTCCAAATTGACATTTGCATTTTCAATTGCCATAACTTGTGCTTCAATTGTGATACGTGCTCCGGATATCTTTTCGATCTGATTTTCATATTGTTTTTTTCGTTTAAGTGCCATCAGAGCAGCTAAAAAAAACCATAAATAAAAAAGTCATTTCTTCAGTAATAACATTTTTTAACATTTTGATTAGATTTAAAATAAATATTAAATACAAAACTTAAGTTTAAAGAAAAAAGTCATGCAAAACGCGACGTTTTCCACGTAATAATAATAAATTTGAAAAGAAATTTCTCATGTAAACAACGTTATTATACTTTGAACTAATACCCACCTCTTTTATTAGTAGCAGCATTTGATTTAGCATTTTTAAGTTCAGCATCAATCTTAGATTGCAAATGACTCTCCCGTTTTCCTAACATATCCAAAGTTTCTCTGAGACGAACTATAGCACTTTTAGCGTCGGCTTTTGGTTTTTGACGAGAAAAGAATAATTGCATCTTTTTAAAAATAGTATACTATAAAAGTAAAACAGAAAAAAAAATAAAATAAATCTTTCAAAATAAAAAAAAGTAAACACAAAAGCGAGTTAATTGAGTGAGTTATTAGAGATTTATTGCAACAAAGAATTACTAAATTGAAAATAGGCAATGCAAAGCAAATTATAATATTTACATGTAGAATTATTATAAAGTGATAAAAGAAAATTTGGTTTTTCTCGTCAGTCACGACTTATCTAGATCAAATTTAGGATGTTAGAAATGTTATAAACTCCTTATTGAGCGCCTAATACCGATAAGTGCACACTCGCATATCATTCATTAGCATACACGTGATTGTGAGATAGACATTTATTTAGTTAATTATTTTCCTGATAAAGCTTGGACTTAGTTTTCGTTGAGCGAACAACCTTTTTTTTTTTTTTATAGATTGGAAAAAAAAACCCTTACTCTTTTTTATAATTAGCATATATTTCAGTATAATGTTGAAATCAACAAAGCCAACAATAGTATCTATTATTTTCTATGAAGCTTTGTTTTTATTTTCTGGTTTTTTTCAAACTCTCGGCCAACAATTTTTATATTATCAAGGTGCTGCAAGTAAGTAAAAAGTGATTTTTTTTTTTTTTTTTTTTTTGTTTGGACAAAAAAAAAAGACCTAAAATATTTATTCTTAATTTTAGCCGGACTAAGGTAAATTCGTTGGGAAACGTTGAAATATTTATTGTATAGATTATTAACAAATTCTTTTTTATAAACGAACATAATTTAGCCTGCTTACTAATACAGCAATGTATATGGGCATGGCGGCAGTTGGGTTCTTTTTATTGCCAAAGTGGTTAAGGAGAAGAAAATCTATTAATGATAGAATTGGAGAATTGGAAGTTAACATGGTAGTTGTTAACCATGTGGTGTTCTTAATATATAATAAATTAATATATATATATAATTAATTCCTAAGTGGTTTTTTTTTTTTCCTATTATTTTATTTCCTTTTTCCTTTCAAAAAAAAGGATCAATTAATTTTCCAAGACAAAGATGTGACCACAAATTATTTGTTCGATCTACTATCCTTGACTTTAGGCAACGGCAACAGGAAAAAACTACCAATTATTACCAGAAGAAGCCGAGGAAGATAATTACACGGATATAGACGGTTCCATTTTGACACAAAATGATAATGATGTGAAATCAGCACCAAAAGAGGTCGTTAATTATAAAATGATTATTGCTGCCTCTTTCTTGGATGTCATTGCCAATTTCGCTTTAACGATTGGATTTTTCTACGTAGGAAGTGGGGTAAGTTAAAAAAGAAAAAAAAAAACTTTATCATTATAAATTAAAATTTTCTTTAAACTTTATGGATTATAGATGTACCAAGTAATATACAGTTCAGTTGTTATCTGGTGTGCTATTCTTTCCTTTTTTTTTCTCGGACGAAAAATTTCTTTATTGCAATCAGCATCCATTGTGGGCGTATCTATTGGACTTGCACTTAGCGCATTAGGAATAAATCAAAGTACATCAGATCCATCATCAGATCACGTATCATCCATGATGTTTGGGATGATTTTAACATCATTTTCGACATTTGGATATGCATGCGTTTACGTAGTATCAGATCAAATTCTAACTGCTCATACACCGGACTCGCGTCCGCCATCACCAGAAAAAGTGTGTTTTTTAGTAGGAACGAATAGTACAATTATATCATTCATTTATATTATATTATATACAATTCCAAATTGGAATTCATTAATAACGGAAGAAATGGAAAAGAAAGTACCTCATTCAAGTACATTTATTATAATTTTAATGTATTTGTTATTAGTGTTCGCATCATTCATTCATAATTTGGCTTATTATTGGTTGATGAAAGAACTTGGTAACGTCTCTACCGGGATATTAAATTCATTAAGAGCTATTGTTGTATTTGGTTTAAGTCACTTTATGTTTTGTCATATTGACGAAGGACAATGCTTTAATGTTTGGAAAGGTTGGAGCGCCATCATTGTAATTGGATTCGTTACTATCTTTTCTATAAGTAAATCAAGAGAACAGGATTAATTCTATAGATGTTAAAAAAATTTGATCATATTCTTTTTTTTAATAAAAAGATTTAAACATCAGGAATTCGGATCGATTAGTGAACCCAATATTCAAAGATGGTGTGTAAGAGAAAATACCTTTTTTTTTTCTTTCTCAAACCTGATTATTTCGTAATAATTTTAGAAAGGAATGTGCAATTAGGGAAGATTGCCAGAAATATAATTTTAAACAATTTTGAAAGTTTTGGATAATTAGATTTGATTATTAACTTTATAACAATCTAGGAATTGTCATGAAAAAAAATATCTATCATAATATAATTTATAGTTTAGAATTTAGCATTATTAATATTAATATTAAAATTAATAAAACAACTTGTTTTATAATAATTAATTATATAAATTGTTATATAAATTGTTATATAAATTTTTATATAATTTTAAAATTTTAATGCAAATTTTTATATTGAAAACCAAATTTTTAAGTTAGCTAATTATTAATTTTTATTAATTTATATTAGTTTAAATTAAAATTGTGTTTTTAAAGAACTTTCTTAAATTACTTATAAAAACATCACATTTTAAGATTTACCATTTTTGGTCGGTTGAATCCGAACTTTTGTATCATCTGTACTACCAACCCATAGATATACGTTTATAGATACGCGTCAATAAAATTCGTGTTTGCAGAAATGTCAACTAGACGTTCCCAAAATTCTTTAGAAGGCAATACAAGTTTGTCATTTAGTGAGCAAAGAGAATATGATAGTTTGTATCGAGACAGTGATGAATTATCACAATTTATTTTAAAAGGTATAAACTATGCAGCAGACTCTGCAGTTGACCTTGAGCAAGCGGACGAAGAAGAAGAGGTTTTGTAGCTTGTTTTTTTTCGTCGTTGTTGTTTATTTAAGGGACTCCTTTACAAATAATAATGATTCGTAACAGGTGCAACAATTGGATGAAACTGTACGAAATATGATTGATATTGAAAATAAACTCGCTTTGCAAAAAGATGTATTGGAAAGAATTCAAGTTAGAGTAAATGCAGGACGCAAATTTGTAAATATCGATTTATGATCGTAAACCAATTTTTTTTTTTTTAATATTATTAAATGAATTTTTATGCTCTTATCAACATTAGGATGATGTTGTAATTATTTATGAACAAGAATGTGAAAAGGCGTTTAGAGATTATTCACATAGTTCAGAGGAAGATAAATATTTCAAGAACGAAAATTATAATGATTTTCGACAAAAAATTTGGGTGAGCATAAGAAATTTAATATAGCCACCAATTTTTTGACAGCTTTTGTAATTTTTTTCGTTATTTGATAGGAAGTTAAACATGAAAATGAACCAATGCCACCAATGAATCAAAATGAAGATGATGACCTTGTGGTTGGACCTCAAAAAGAATCTTTACATTGTCCAATCACGACTTTATTGTTGGACAATCCGGTAACAAGGTTGTGATTAAAATATATTTTTTATATCTTTTTTTTTTTTCGACCAAATTTTATTCACACATTTCGTTTTTGATTGATTTAGTGAATTGTGCAAGCATACGTTCTCTAAAGATGCTATTATGCAGTTAATGAGCCGTAACGGCAACGTTATATCATGTCCAATTCCGGGCTGTGATAAACAAATTATGGAACATAATCTCAAAGAGAATAAACGTTTAGTGCGAAAGGTTGTTGAACACGTTAAAATGATGGAAAATGAAATGGACGATATTGAGGTAAAAAAAGATAATTATGATATTACTTGTCATATAATTGTTAATTTACTAACGTTAATATTTAATTTTTCTTTTCAAGTATACAAATATTGATGATTAAATTTTGCAGCTAGATATTTTCTCTTTAATTTGGCCGTAAATATAATAAATTGCGCCTTTGTCATCGGATTACGTATTTGTTTTGCTTTCCGAAACCGCTTCTTTATTTGAAGCGATGTTTGAATTATTCTCGGGTTGAATTTTGGAAAGGTTATAGGCTCGATCCGTCTCTCTATTTAAAAAAATTAAATTAAAAATCGGTAAAAAAAAATATTTTCATGTTTATATTATAAATTACCGTTTTAATTGCTCGAATGCGGGAACAAAGGTGTAAAGGCCAATTCCGATTCCAAGTATAGCACCTATTAATACTGATTGATTTCTAATAAAAAAGCTATTCATCTTTTTTATTATAAATATTTTTTTTTAAAATGAAAGAATTTTTTTGAAATAGTTACATATCATAATTAGGAGAGATTTACATGCAAAGTCCATTAACCAATCCTAAAACGTGATCAAATTAAAAATTTGAGTTCGAAATATTTGATCGGCTTATTTGATCATCACGGAACATTTTTTTGTAAAAAGACCTTATTATCAAGCCGGAAGATTTTTTTTTTTTGCTGTTGTTGAGGAAGGAAATTTTTGCTGTTGCTGTTGAAGAAATTTTGTTTAGTAATTGGTTTAAAGTTTAACTGTGGATGGTACTTTTAGTTATTTCCTCTCGAGATCCAGATTTATATTAGTTGTAGTATTTTAAACCAGATTCTAAAGGCATGTTTATTTTTAAGTCTTTTTTTTTTAAAAAAATAAAAAAAACGCGTTTTTTACATTCGTTTAAAAAAAAACCGATCCACTTTTTTTTAGTTCGCGTCACACAAACTCATCAGCCAATAATTATAAATTCAAAAAATCGATTGTCCACTACTTTTCTACTTTTGAATTTTTTAGGATTCCAGAACATGCCCTTAATTCGTACTAATCGTTTCAATAATCAAGTAATTTTCTTCAATACCAAGATTCTTTTCACAAATTCCCTTTTACATTTTCGTTTAAAGTCAACAAATCATCCTAACGAAAATTCTATAATTTTAGAAAAGCAAGAAGGTAATGAAAATAAATCATCAGCATCATTAAATACAATTCTCAAAAATTCCTTTGTAAAAGAAAATGATATACCATGGACGGGAGAAGAAGATATCAAAACAACGGTATTAAGGATGATAGTAGATAAATATCCTCCATTAAAGTTAAAAAGAAATTCCATTAAAGAATTTAACAGTTCATCAGAAAAATTCAAAGCAAATTTGCCTTCTCTCCCTATAAGTAAATTACCTTCCACTACCCTTCCTGATTCACCTTCAAATAGCGTAATCTCAAATAAAAGATCAGCTACGGTATCAAAAAACGAGAAACTTGAAAAAATTCGAGAGGCTAAACAATCTCGTTTACTAATTGCAAAAGACGCTGCAACAGATTATTCAATTAATAAAAAACTTGGCGTAAAATCTGAAAGTGAACAACCAAAGGTCGTACCAAAAAGTATTTCTGGTTGGAATAATTTAGTGGAGAGTCGTATTCAAGAGGCTATGGCTGCTGGTGAATTTAGAAATCTTCCTTATCGTGGTAAACCTTTACCATCGGATCCAAATGAAAGGGTAATTATCATCAAAGCATGGAATTTTTTAATTTTTTAATACTTTTACACTAATTAATTCGTTTTAACCAGATAGAATCCTTATTTGGATCGTACGGAATTCTTCATGTAAGTGAATGCTGATTAATGTTTCCTATTTCTTGTACCTTTACACTTATCTTTCTTTTTTTTCTTTTAGGAATAGGCTTGTGCAAAGACAAGGTTCAGTGCCGGCATGGATAGAATATCAAAAAGATGTGGATAGAGAAATTTCTCTATTTCGTCAACGCTTGAGAGAAAGTTGGATCCGCTACGCAAGCATTAATAATATCGATTCAAACAGTCGAAATATTCCTTGGGAAAAAAGAGAATTATCATATTATGAGAAAGCTATTAATAAGTTAAACAGTAGGTTACGTTCTTATAATACAATTGCTCCTTATGCTGTTCGACGTGGTTATTTAAACCTTGAATTGGAATTTAAAAGAATATATCAGGATGTAAAAAAAAATATTAATGATCATAAAGCAAAAGTTTTGGAGAAAGATGATTGTTTATCATTTGATGATAAAATTGAGTCTAAAGATGATGATAATTTGTGGAAACATTTGGCTAAGATTATTAAATGGTGGATTGGGAAATAATTAATTATAACGATGATTTAATAATTAATATTATTTATCGCAATTAATATTATAATTTTCAAAAAAAAAAAAGTAGTAATAAATTAAAAGTTAGGAAAGTATGATTTCGGTGATAGATATTGGCCGTTTAAAAATATACGTATATTGTAATTTAAAAAAAAAAAAAGGTTGCTACATCTGTTTGATATTAATTAAAGGGGAAACAGACAGTAAATATCGTCAGAAATGATGAATGCCTCAAAACATTCAATCATTGCATTTTTTGCGACAACTACTTTTTCGGGACGTTTAATTATTGCTTATCTACTGCCTCATCGTGGCCAAAAAAATTAAGTTTGACTGCGGCCAAATGACATAAACGTTCAATGGCTAGTTCAAAACTTTCTCGATTCGCTGTTCTGCTATGACAATATCAAACTTAAAATCATCTATTTAAACAGGTAATTTCAAGAAAGATTTTTTTTTTTTTTTTAAAAAATCCTCCAAGAAAACTGCAAATTTATTCAGATATAATGTATGATTCTTTATACATGAAAATACAATATATAGCATTAACACTAAGTCTTTTTGATTTGCTTTAAATAAAACTTTGCTTTACATATCAAAGTAGAATTCTATCTACAATAATTAATTGCTTTATATTGTGCAAATATAAGAATATAAGTAAAAATCAAACGAAAGTATGGTGGAATGCTACAAAAAATGAAACATAGTGGTAATGGTGAAATGAAGTGTATTAGTAGTGTATCATTTATTTTTTTATCGAAAATTATTGGCAGATACTTATTTCTATTCCCCGGTGCTATAGGTTCAAAATTAATTCATCACGGATAAACTATTAAAGTGTGAGAAACTTATAGTTAGCAATATTAGCGATAGAAACAAATTAGCTATGCTCTTTTCGTTATGTAACTTTCTTGGGATAGTACAATATTCAATATTATTATAAAGAATTTTCATGAGATATAATATTTAATAAAAAAATAAAGGAAATTGCTATGTAAGAAAAAGTAGAATGTTGTGTTAATGAATTTTATAATCTCGGAACATGATAGGAAAAGTTAGCTTCACAAGACGTCTAACACCCCCGAAAGACATACGCGTCTCATAAACCCGCCGATGAGCACAGGCCAGGAGGGCCAGGAGACCGATTGGACGTAGGGGAATGCTATCAGATTGAGTAATAGACCTGCGTGGAACAACACCCACGAAAGGCATACGCGTCTCATAAACGATCATTCGTCAATAAATATTTTCTCTCACGTGACTTGCACATTTGTCACGTGCTTATTCTCGCGACTCGCGTTTACTATCGCGTTCGATATACTTATCAGTTGAACGACCTATTTTCTTTTTTCTCTTTTACGATCTAATATTGGTAACCTGTCCTGACTTTTGTAAAAGTTAGCGTGTATTCTCACAGTCTTGAGAATTTTTCATAGCCATTTCTTTTGATTATAAATATTTGTCCAAGAATTCCTTCTATTTTCAAAGAAATTCCACTTCAAATTGGAGCAACTATGATCTCTACTTTTCAACAGCAAAAAGACCGTCTCATGGTTCTTTTGTACGAGATCTGATGATAATAGCGAACCATAAATATGTTTCTTCTTCTCTGCAGGAAAGTGCAAGAGGTATAGCTGACCGTGTCAAAAATAATAGAAGTGAAAGAAAACTTTTTCTGGATTTGCAGGATACCTACGAGTATAATCGGGAACGAAAGCGGATTCGGGTAGGATTGCATTTGAATAAGTATTCGAAATATTTAGTGTTCAGCTTTTCACATTCTGTTATTGCAGATTCAAAGCTCATTAAAAGTGGAACGTGCTGTTAATATAATGTTGGAGAAATCAGTTACCGAAACGGTAGTATTTATTATTTGGTTTCATGGGACTTTTATGAATTAGTTTTAATTTAAAAATTGCACTTTTACTCTTCAACATCCAGGTTTCGACTCACACAACAAATGCAGGTGACGAATATGAAAATGATGATGAAGGTGGTGAAGATGGTGAAGATGACGAAGGACCACAAGAAGTAACTATGTTTAATTCGCAACTATGAATTTGTCTTCTTTTTTGATGTGCGCAATAACACAAGGACAACTACAATATTGCGATATTGAGGAATCACATATTCGAGAGCTCTTGGAATCGAATAATGAGCGAATTTATGAAGAAGTCTATGACGATAACACTAATGACAACATTGATGATAATGTTAGCGAAGATAACTATCTAGAAGCCGTCCATTTATCTCAGAATGTAACAACGCTTATTTGTACAATTTTAATATTACATCATACCTTATCTAATCTATGTTCTTTCTTTAGACTTCACAGGTTGCTACAGGGGAAGTCCGTAAAATAGTCGAAAAATAAAACGATCTAAATATCGTTATCGTGTAGTTAATTTATCAGAACGAAATATTTCGAATCCAGTTAAAAAATTGTTAACAGAAGTTGACAGACAGTTACTAAAAACGGCTTGGATTTCGGTACTGTGTTTTTTTTATGTTGCCATTTGCGAGACTTTAATATTCTTGTTTACTCTTATTAGTTAGAAGCATCTAAAGAGAAATTTAAGACAATCCGCCAGGACAAATGGGACGAAATTTTAAAACCACTTTTAAAAAAGTATCAAATAGCCTTAGTACCGAAATCTGTGTTTGATCAAACTTTGATGTTTGGCGCAGTAACGCAAAAGAACTTATACTTACCTATTACTCCTATTACTATAAGACTCTGAGAATTTACCATAATTTTTTCGGGATTGGAATGCTAAGAAAATTAAATATCATTGGTAAGAGAGGATTATTTTTATCGAAATTATGGATATATACTCATTACTAATATTCGGTGCTATAGGTTCGGAAGTCCTCTTGCAGAACTTAATCCTATATATGGTCCGTGTGAGTGAGAAAGATATAGATAAACGAAAATTTTGTATAGTCTTGTTTCTAGAAAAAGACTATGGGTTGAAAATTTCGTAGCTAATTATATTAGCACTGTAATCTCCGTTTAATATCCCGAATATCTTATTTCATAATGACACGTGAATATATTTACGTGATGAAGGTTTATAGAAAGTTTGATGAAAATTTGTATTTAAGAAAGTTTGATTTATTAAGGAACCACCTTTTATTCTCTCATCTCTTGTTTTTTTAGAAGAATTTTTTTACAAAAAGCAAAATGTCTATCAGAATCATTGGTGAAATAATTAATAATCTCACTTTTACTGTCGAAGAAAAGTCCACTTTACGCTATTACTTTTTTAAAAATCCTAATGAAGCAGATAAAGCTTTGAAACTTGCCAAACGATTGAAGAAAAATATGACTTTATAAGAAAGATTTTTTTAAAGACTGGTATGTTCTAAGAAGCGAATGTGAACAACTTTGAGTATTCGGTGCACTTTAACTAACTTGCCTTTTTGGTCTCCTAACCCAATTTAGATGAACCTCAAGGTAAGCCTTCGCGTCGTAAAAATTGTCCGAAATAACGTGACGCTTTAATAACATGTTTATTAATCCACTATCCAAAGCCAAATGTATTCTAACTGTTGAGAAAATCGAAAAAGCTATTAAACCATATATTCGTGATCTGCCTCGTGAATTACCAGACAATATCCCAAATGATGTTTCTGACATTTCAACTTTGTAAATCGTGAAAAAGAGATCATTAAACTTATGACGAATATGAATAGTTTGTATCTCCTTGTCACAAATCTAAAAGCGTATAAGCAACCAAGAAAGGAAATAAGATTTCCCACGGCTGTTGGTACGGCTGGAAAATGGAAAACAACATTTGCTCGAATGGCATTTGAAAATCAAGAGATTTATTCTGAAATAGTACATGATGAAGTTGTAGATGTGGTGAAAGAATGTCGTAATGCGGGCCGGATTTTTCAAATCATGTGTGATGAATTAGCAGATGACGATTTAGATTTTCCCGAAACGTCTTTCGCGATCAGGTTACTATACGAGGCTTTGAAAGTTCAGAAGAAGTAAGTCCCATCTGTTTATAATTCTGTAATACTTACTTACTACTTAATCACTTTAAACCACTCTTGCAGTATCGATATCACATTTATAAAATTTAAAAATATACTTGGAATTCGTACGATTGAATTCGATCAAGTTATTGATGTAATCTTAGATTACTTCCCAGATAACAAAAAAGACAATAACCCCCTTTTTATAATTAACATTGATGAGACAAATGTAACTATTCAGGAATGGACGTATCGGATGGCTCGGGACAGTTCTCCAGGCTCTTGCAAGAGTCATATCAAATGGTTATTTTCTTTTTATTGTGCTAACTGGAACACATGCAAATGCGTTGTTTTATGTAATAATATCATCAAACGCGAAAATTGAAGACATAGCTTTACCACTGTTGAAAACTGAACATGCTAAAGAAGTTATATTAGATCTTGCTAACCGGGGAGTAGTAAGTTATAATTATTAGCGTTAAGGTTCACCTTCTAATAATACTTAGCTAATTTTACTTAATATTTTTGTTAGAATGATGAGACAAACTGCTACAACTTTAGATAAAATTCTCTTCTTTTTAAAAATATTAATTAAAACCTGTGTAATACTTTTTGCATCATATTCAGTTAAAGAAACAAGACATAAAAATCATGTTTTAAATATTCCATTTTTGGCTACATATGAAACATATACATCTAAATATTTGGTTGTTGTAATATTTGTGCTTTCATCGATCATTAATCCAAATGCTATAACATCAGATAATTCTCTTCAGATTTCATCTTCAATAGTTTTAGCTATTGCCATTAGAAATTTACGTTTTAAATCTCATTTGTATACGTAATTAAACCATCAGAAATATGTAGTGTTCCTGATTTTTTCATCATTTTAATAATAGAAAGTAAATGTCGAAAAGGCAAATCTTTTTTTGACAAAAAATATACAGCTCTCGTTACAATAATAATATGTTTGGCATTTGTATCAGAAGAAAAATTTTGATTTTGCAAAAATTTCATTTGAATACATGCAGTTTCTAATTTTTTTGCTTCAATATGATCTTTACATTTTACATGCTTTTTAACTGCTGATTTTTTTGAGATATTTGTTGCATTTTCTGTAGCAAACTTATTTTTCATCTTATATTTAACACAAATTGTACAAAATATTTTTTTATTATTATCATAATAACGTAACTAAGAAAATTCTGATAGTCACTTAATTTTAAATATTTTATTTAAATTGGAAATTTTCAAATTTTCTTGAGATGAATCATTATCATAAATTCTTTGACGTTTAAAACTATATTGTAACAATAACATAATGAAAAATTGATTAAATATCGATTGATTAATCTATGTCAATTTAAATTAAAAAAATTTGATAAAATTTTATTGGTTTTGATAAAGTTTATTGATGCCAGTCACATGTTCTGATATAAAAAATTTTCTGGAATTTTTGAGGCTTTTCAAAAAATTTTCAGAATTTTTTTAAAAATTTTTTGTGTGCTGATCTGAATGCAAATCGATTTAATACAAAATGATTATAATATAAAAACAATAGATTCAGTAAATTTAGAATTTTGAAAACGTAAATTTTAAATGTATATGTATATTAATATTATGAAAATGAGTTATTTTATTACTTTATTGTATCTGTAATTTTTGTATTATTTTAGATGATTTATTATAAGACTTAATTTCAGTTGATTATAATGGTCTAGTTGCTGATTTATTGATTTTTGAGCCTTTAGTTGTACCTTTTCTCTGTTATATGTGTATGTCCTAATGGTTCAAATTCTAAAGTTAAAGTAGGAATATTATTTTACTATACAAGATAAATTGAGTTTTTTTTTAAGCTTCTAGTAATACAATTTAATATAAGCTCATATTCTTTTTAAGATCTATGAAATAAAATAAGAGATTAGATACATTTCACAGTTTTTTTTTCAGACAACTCAATATTAGAAATGCCATAATATCTGTAATTATGAAAAATACAAACTAATTTATTTCAACTCTGATTTTTTTACAATCTATGAAGACATCTTCACAAATCAAATGTCAACTAGTTATATCATGAAACAACATAATCTTTAGCTAAACTAATAGTTCTTTTGCAATATAAGAGTTGATTTTTGTAATCTCTCTCTATTCTTGATTCATAAATACATAATACAAACAAGGTAAATAGAGTACAATTATTGATGATAAAGCTCTAAATGCAATTATGCAATGAGAAAAAGAATATTCAATATCATCGTGTTAGTCAAAATTTATATGTCTTGAAATACTTACAGTACTTCGTAAATATTCTTACATGTCAAATCTTTATTTTCTACTTTTATGAATATCTTTTACTAATATTGATGAAACCTTTTGATATTACTAGCTTTCTACTAAAAAAACTGAAATATAAAAAATACTAAATTTTAATATGTAAGATTTACCTCAATAGTTGATGCACATCACAATTGCTTTGCGATACTTGTTAGATTAACTTTCTTTTCATTATTCTCAACCTACTCATTATTGTTATTATTAGACTTTATTCTTACAGCCGAAGTTGAAAGAATTAAAATTTCAAATGTGATAAATTAATTCCTGCTGATTTCTAAAAGATTAGCTATTTGGAGAAGAGATACTCACAAAAAAGGTATGTAAGCTTAGATACATGGCTATCTATTTTTATCTATTTTGTGAATATATCATAGTTCTAAAATAATGAAGTAATCACAAAATGATTTGTTTTATCAATTCATAATACTAACTTCTAGTAAAAAATATTATTTTTACTTTCTGATAATCTAGTAAAAATTCTGCTATTAATATCTACGTTTATAGATTAATTGATACCTATAATATAGGTTAGTTAACGTGTATTTGCACATGCGAGCACTTTTTTTTTCTACTCATTACTTTCTTATGATCAGGTTGAGGAGCCTAGTAAGGAAAATCTAAAAGTTAAAATAATATTCTTTTACTAATATTAATGCTCAATTTTGCATTAAATTTTCCTTTTATCAGAATACTAGATCAGTAAGAAGTATAGCGTAAATACTAATCTTGCGACTCAACAAAATCTTAAATGACTGAACTAATCAAGAAGGTCATCATCACGCCAATTTCTCCTATCTATATTCTAAATGAAAAAAAGACTTTTTTGTATTTATTAAGCAGAAGCTGAGCACTTTTCTTCCTGTTATTTTGCTTACAGTCACATCATTTTTTTAAGTAGTTTTATATAAGAACTAATTTCATTTTAAATAGCACTAATTCACTTTTGTTTAAAAAGCTGAGAATGCTTCATTTAGTTAAAATATTCAGATTTTGTAGACATGAATAAAAATATATTTTTGTTGATTTTTGTTATAAAAAAAAATCTTTTTACCATTACAGTCACACCTCAATATAACGAAGTTGCCGATCCAGCCAATCAGGACTTCATTATAAGAATCTTCGTTAACGCTATAACGAATTATGCAGAATGTATAACGAATAATTCGTTATAGCGTTAACGAATTATTCGTTATAGTAGATGATTA